GTGGATGTGCAAAAGAAGCTCAGGACACAAGGACACCCTTGATCTGGCAGGGTCGACCGACTGATCAGTCCAAGACTGGGCAGCAAAGGGTACTTTTCAGTTTTTCTGCTGATCAGTCTTAAGGATGCCTGGGTATGTTTCATTTTTTCTGCCCATGATAAAAAATATTCTTGCATTCGCATTTTTTGTTTTTTAACACCAAAGGGTATACTCTTCAGTCCAATACTGATCAGTCGACGAAGAAGGGTCGGCTGTACGTCAAAACTGAGACGACCAAATCGAAATGTGTGGAGGAATCGGGCGTTGGCAGAACTGGGTCTAGTGGGACCGGGTTTAATGATCTGTACTGGGGACGCCCCCCCCCCGTCCCATGCCACCAACCGGAGTTGCCGTCACCCGAAGAAGCACCAGCTATGGCAAACCTGGTTTAGTGATTCTGGCCCATTCAAGGGTTCCGGGGCCCTACCAGTAACCAGGTCCCCTTACCGGGGGTCCTGGCCAAACCCGATGGAGGAAGGTCGAGGGGGACGCGGCGGCAGTCCGGGGCGGCGCCGGCAGAAAAGGCAGGGGGGGGCGACGGCCAGGCCAGGCCGCACGGGGGACTGAGAAGCGACGTGCCATCCCAGCGTGCCAAGCACGGAAGGAGACGCGCTGCAGTCCAGGAGCAAGACGCCGATCCCCCAGCCACAGCCCCAGCAGCGACGAGGGGGCGAGAGGGGAACGAGGGAGGGGAGAGCGCCGGGCGAGACGAGAGGGAGCGAGAGACAGAGAGGAGGGGAGGCCCAGAGAGCACGCTACGCATCAGCAGCGGAAGGCGGGGCGAGGAGAGAGAGAGAGAGAAGAAACAAGCAGGCAACGGAAGGGGGCAATGGCAACTGCCAAACACGGAGCGAAACATGCCAGTGCATGAACGAGTGGAAGGGGCCCCACGACCAAACCTCACTAGCAATTACCCGCCACGGCCACTATCGGCTCCTGTTCCCCGAGCTAGTTCGCCTTCCTCCGCACTTCCTCATTCTTCTATCTCCTCCTCCTCGTCCTCCCTGTCCTCCCCTGCCCGATCTTCGCCTCGTCGTCTTCCGATGTCTCGTTCTTCTCCCGCCTCGCCCCTCGTCCTCCCCCTGCTGCCGCGGCTCCTCCTCCGCCGTCCTCGTGGAGGCGCGCAGGAGCCGCCTGCGTGCGGAACAGGGGGTCGGAGAGCGTCTCTGCATTCAGGTCGAACTCCACCTGTTTCGCCGCGGGCGGGTGCGAGCATGCTCGTCGTGCACAGAGTGGGTCGAGGAGATGGAGGAGGCGGATCACACCGAGGGGGACAAGGGAGAAGAGAAGATGGAGGAAGAGAAGGAAACAGAAGAGGGCCGTAACCACCTCCCATGTGTCAGCCCGCACCGCAATCAATCATTTCCTACCCTCTTGCCGTCGTGCTCTCTATTCTGGCGCAGTGGCAGCTTTGCCGGACGCGTGCCAACCCAGAGCGCTAACAGTGGACGTTCCATGTGAGGATGAGGGGGAATAGCAGCGTGAAGGTGATGTTCATGATGATGCTGATGATGACGATTATGATGATCATGATGATGATACTGCTGATGATGCTGGTGATGATGGTGATGAGGTTGTTGCTGTTGTTGATGATGACGATGACGATGCTGCTGATGACGATGTTGATGATGCCGATGATGTGGATGATGATGATTCTGATGATGATGCTGATGCTGATGCTGATGATGATGATGATGATGATGATGGTGGTGGTGGTGGTGGTGGTGGTGCTGCCGCTGCTGATTACGATGAAGAAGAAGGGTGTTATCATGGCACTGATGATGCTGGTGATGAGGAAGAGAGAGGATTGGGATTGGCCGCCTGCTAAGACGAGTTCGATTAAGGCTGATGCTTGGAATCTGTGTTGTGCTGTGAGGTTTGCAAATAGGTCGTGAATGTTGGCCGCAGCCACTGGGGGCATTACCGAGCCTGTGCATCAGATTGGTGATCAGCTCGAGGCCAGACACTTCGGCATTTGTGAAGGTGCGATCGCCTAGATAGCGCTCGCTGGCAATGGGGACCTGGCGTGTGCTCGTCTGGTCGAAGATCCCGAAGACGAATCCAGAAGGAAGCGTAGAGGGAAGAGGATACTGATGATGCCACCAACATCCCTTCCCTTGACGCTGGCAGGCCTCCACATTCCAAGACATGGCGGCAGAAGGTGGAATGTTGCCCCGGAGCCCTGGTCCAGCGGAAGACGGCGCCGAAGGCGGCACGGAAGACGGCACGACAGGACGAACGAAACGAGGGGAAAGATAAGGAGAAGGAGGAGGATGAGGAGGAGGAGGAGGAGGAGGAGGGGGAGGAGGAGGGGGAGGAGGAGGAGAAGGAGGAGGAGGAGGAGGAGGACGACGACGCAGAATAAGGCGAGGCTTCGCGGACTACATGCGTCGCGCTCTGTGTGCCAGCTGGGCGGAACAGCCCAACCGCAAAATCAGGCCACGAGGCTTGGGAAACAAGGCTTTCGCCTCCTCCCGCACCTCGCTCACCACCGAGGCACTCCCGCCTGCTTATCTGGGATGGCCATCCATCTCTCCCGCAAGCCAGGGGCATCAACTCAGATGTTTGACCCAGGTGTCAACCATGCCATGGGGCCTGGGTGGCAACGTCATCGCCTCCCCTCACGCCTCGCCCACCCCCGAAACCATCCCGCCTGATCGCCTGGCAAACGAACTTCTCTCCCCCGCGAGCCCAGAGCCCCAGCCAGTGGCCGAACCCATGTGGAACTCGGCATCCCTCTGGCCCCGCACACCTGGCAAGCCAGGTCTAAGCCCCGGGACGACCGCATCGAGGCCCCTGCGCGCCAGGCTCCACTCCTGAGGCTCCGGGGGAAAGGCCACTGCCCCCCCGAGGAGGGGGGAGGAGGAGGAGGAGGAGGAGGAGGAGGAGGAGGAGGAGGAGGAGGAGGAGGAGGAGGAGGAGGAGGAGGAGGAGGAGGAGAGAAGGAGGAGGAGGAGGAGGAACAGGAGGAAGAGGAGGAGAAGGAGGAGGGGAGGGGGATGGGGAGGAGGAGGAGGAGGAGGAGGAGGAGGAGGAGAAGGAGGAGGAGGAAAAGAAGGAAGAGGCGGAGGAGGAGGAGGACACAGAGGACAAGGAGGACAATGATGATGATGAGGATGATGATGATGATGAGGAGGAGGAGGAGGACACGGAGGACAGGGAGTAGGAGGAGAAGGAGGAGGAGTAGGAGCAGGAGTAGGAGTAGGAGGATGGGAAGGAGAAGGAGGAGGAATAGGAGAAGGAGTAGGAGTAGGAGGAGGAGGAGGAGGACCAGTGTAAACTCAATAATCATCAACGATGTTGGAATACACTCTCCCTCCAAGCTCCCTCTTCATAGGCCCCTACAACGGTGTATTTCCAGTGAAGGAACTGCCTCGTTGGAAGACAACCGTTTGAAGACCCTGAAGCATGCCAAAACATCTTCTCGGGATTCTAACGCCACGGATCAACCTGACTGTTGCGTCCTGAAGGTCATGAATCGTGCCAGGATGCCATTCCTGGGACTTCACAACACCACGAACCACATAAGGGCTGCACCCTCATGATCCGGAGTCCTTCCAAAACACGAATGTGCGCGGCGCTACAGCGAGATCCACATTTTTAAAAGGAACCACCCTCAATCGTGAAACACTTGCATTTGTTGCCAACCATCCTGTGGTATTGGGTCCTCGTTTTGAAGAGACGGTCCCCGCGTTCACTCCTCATCCTCCTGCTGCCCTTTCCCTCCCCGTCTCATGATCGTCATCACCCGTTTCAACACACCCCTCACACGTTTCGTGGCCCCATAGGGAGCCCCACCGAAGGCCCAACTGCCAGCGATCGCATGCGCCCGCCGCACCCATTTTGGCACACCCCTCACACGTTTTGTGGCTCCATAGGGAGCCCCACCGAAGGCCCAAGTGCCAGCGTTCGCATGCGCCCGCCGCATCCATTTTGGCATACCCATCACACGTTTCGTGGCACATGCGCCCGCCGCACCCATTGTGGAACACCCCTCACACGTTTCCTGGCTCATGCGCCCGCCGCGCCCATTTTGGCTCAAGCACCACATCGGGGCTCAAGTACCACATCTGGGCTTCGCCTTCCATCGATAAGTGCATTCTTTCTTGTGCCTGGACTGCCTGCGCTCCGCAGCTGGAGTGGCGACCTCCAGTGCCAGTGTACGATGACCATGATTTATGAGGAAATTAACAGGCGGCTGGAGAGAGTGCTGCACAAGTCAGATATCGAGTGCGACACCTGCGGGGACATCATCCCAGGTGGAACTCGACGCTAGGCTTGTGACGCATGCTGTTGGCACATCTGTGGGTCATGCCGTGCCGACAAGCGTGAACATCCAGCGGGGAGCACACCAGAGAGGAAGAGAGGCAGGGGGCAACCCATCGGCGGAGCACCGCGCTTCGATCGGAACACCGGCATCTACCCATGGGACGAGGACGAGGACGAGTTGATGACGAAGGGAGGGGGGGAAGGAGATGAGGACATGGAAGGACGCTTGATGAATGAGATTCGAGCGATCCCCAAGATGCCTGCGCAGCAGTTGTGGCCATGGCGGAGGGAGGTGGCAGAACTTCCGGAGGAAGCGAAGTCAGTGCGAGTGCAGCCCGAGAGGGCTTCGGAGAGGGCGAGCTCTGCCACGGAATCGGTTCGCAGCCTCCGCGCGGACGTGGAGCAGATGCAGCGGGCGGGGCAGGAGAAACCGCCAGATCTCGTCAGGTGATCGTCGGAGGCTTCTCGGAGGAGTCGGAGGCGTTGAAATCCAAGGTGGAGGGATTCTTGAAGGAGGACTCCAGGAAGACCAAGGCACAGAAGGTGTTCACGCTCACGGACTTGGCCCTCGTCGGAGTCATCCAGTTCACCACGGAGGCAACGAAGAAAGGCTTCTGCCAGCGTATCCGGAGGGCGTCGATAAACATAGGGGGAGACACCAAACTTTGGTTTGCAGATAATCGAACATTCAAGGCACGGGGACGGGACAGAGCACTTGGTTTGATCAAGGGGCACCCCATTGACAAATGTGAGAAGGACCCCAAGATCGTCCGCATTCTGTGGAACCAGGGCGTAGTCAAGTTGCAGGGCAAGGTTGTGGCGACCGTCACGGACAACGCAGTGGTCAAGCCATCGGAGGAAAGACGATGTGCAGGCAGAGATCGAGGAGTGGTTCGACAATCGTGGCGGGAGGAGAGAGGACGACGCGTAGGGTTCGTGGGTGCGTACACGCACTCGCTTGCCCAAGAGTGCCAGGCCAAGAATAGCACGAAAAAGGTCATCTACAAACGTGCATTTTTGCATTCTGGTCAAAATCTTCTGAGGAGCTGTGGGGGAGGACGGGACAATTTCAGAACAATGGATGGTGACGTTCCTGCTTGTCTACTCTCGCGGGCACAGCCAGGAGGTTGCGACAAAACGGCGTCATTTACAGCGCAACGCGCGGTAGTTGATCCAGTCAGAAAAGCAAAAGGGAAGCAAGAAGCATGGGATATTCCATCATTTACAACATTGCAGTTTCTTGCGAAAAGCTTTCAATCGATCAAACATAAAAACCGATTTCAAGAATTGTTGGCTGAATTATCTGTTATGGGGAACTGGGACGCTGTTCTCGTGAATGAAACGTGGGGACCTGCAGAGGAAGAACAGTTCATAACAGAGAGCGGACACATCTTCTTGGGGGCCGGGGGGGCCATCAACCGAAGTGGTGTAGCAATTTTGGTGCATACGCGGTGGGCTTCTGGCATATCGTCATTTTCAACTAGCGGCGATCGTATATTTTGGTTGGACATCAACATTGCACACTTGTTGTTTCGGCTCGTCTCTGTGTACATGTCTGATTCCACATATCCAGATGAAGATGTAGAGGCCATGAATATAAAATTAGAACGCGTACAATGACAGGCGGTGCAACAGGGCCTGATCTTAGTCGCGGGGGGCGACTGGAACGCCGTGTTGTGCACTGGCGGCGATTCATGCGATAACCAATGTGTTGGCGACCACGGGATTGGGGAACGAAATGATCGAGGTGACACGTTGGCCGCATTTCTGGCAGAGAATATGCCATCAGCTACTAACACGTTTTACCCAATGCAAGACAGCAACACGTCGACACACAGAAACGGTGTTCACGAACGCCAGATCGACTTCTTTGGCGTATGCCGCCGGGCGGAAGACATGATGACGCTTTCAGGAGCCAAAGATGCAATTGGGGGTTGGGGCAGACCACAGAAGGGTAACTTTGTGTCTGAGAGCAACGTCAGAGCAGGAAGGCGGCCGGCGCACTGCGTGGGCGGCGAGACCTCGAGGACCCAACCTTTCGGCCTCGAGACGGTTATGCAGCAGACGTTGAAACCGCCATACGATCAAGTACAAAGATGCAATCAGACGATGGGCGGCGGCCAAATGCAGCAGCAGCGCGTGAGGAGTTGGAAGAGTGTCTGAGGGCATCTGCGAGACAGAAGGAGGGCAAAGCAGAAAGACCGAAGAACGACCACGCAAAATTGCCGCTGAACATCTTGAGTTTGATGTCTGAAAGGCGGGCTGCGCGTAGAGGAGAAGGTGATCACAGACCAATGAAAGAAATATGTAAGGAACTACAGTGAGTTTTTCGGGACTTTGAGCGCCGAGGAAAAACGGAGCACATTGATAAAATCTTGACAGAATTCAAAAACATTGGGCATATCAAAGACATCCACAGCAACTTCAAGAAAGTGAGGCTCACCAGTGTGGTCAATAAGGATGGAAACGTTTGCTCGGATAGGCAAGGCATCGTCGACGTCTGGGCTGATTTCTACGAAGAGCTATGCAGAGCCCGGGAGAAATCTGGGGCGGGCGGCGACGCGGACAGAAACAGAGATGCCACTTTCATTATACCGTCAAGTACAGCAGCATGTTGAAGAAAGTGAAGGCAGAGGATTCGAAAGGGATCGTTGCCGAAATGTTCCAAGCAGGGGGGAGTACTTAAAGAAGGTGCTGGCCGACGTCTTCGCGAGCATCCTGGTCCACGGGGATGAGCCGCCAGAGTCGTGGAGGCACAACTGCGTGAAGATTTTGTTCAAAAATGGCGACCCACAGTTACCCGAAAACTATCGCCCCATCCCAATTTTACCGATTATGCACAAGCTGTTCGCAATGGTTCTCAACCAACGACCGGTGGCACTCCTGGGGTGTCAGCAGTTCGTTAGGCAGGCGGGCTTCCGGAAAGGATACAGCTGCGAAGACCACTTGGTGACGATGTCGTTGATTTACGAGACGTCGAGGGAGTTCAGCGTTAATGTATGGGTTGCTGCAGAAGATTTCGAGAAAACGCTTGATTCCGTGAACCACTCGGCCATCTGGAACGCTTTGAGAGAGCAAGAGGTTCCGGAACCCTACGAGCAAGTGCTGAGACGTCTGTATACGAATCAGACTGGGCAGGTGGTATCTCACTGCCAAAGCCGTTCGTTTGTCTCAGGAAGAGGGACCACGCAAGAAGACCCGATGTCGTCAACTATGTTCAACGCAGTGCTGGAATCGTTGATGCGAAGACTGAGGGACAAGTAGCGGGCATCCAGGCTTCGTTTCAAATTGCAACCATGGACGTTAACAAATTTACGTTTCGCGGACGACATACTCCTGCTTGGATCCACCCGGGCGCAAGTTCGAAGAATGCTCGAAGATCTGAGCGAAGCCGCAGCTGGAGCTGGTCTGAAAATCCACACTGGAAAAGCCAAGATCATGTCAAACGTGCGGAACCGAAAGGGCGTGTGGCGACAGCGACACGTACAGGTAGGCGGACGACAAGTCGAGGTGCTACCTGTGGGTGGCAGCACGGCGTACCTTGGCAGGCAGCTGACTTTTGGAGACTACCGCGACGTGGAGATCCGTAATCACATTCCAAAAGGTTGGGCGGCGTTCGGCCGTTTCAAGGGCGAGCTGTGCAACAAGGGTCACCTGCTGAGAAAGAGGTTCAGACTGTTCGATGCTGTTGTGTCACCTACTGTTATTTACGGCAGTGGTGCGTGGACGCTCACTGCGGCGAGATCACAAAAGCTCAACGTGGCCGTGCGTACAATGCTCAGGAAGATCGTTGGCTCGGGGAGGGCGCCAGACGAGTCTTACGTTGATTGGATCAAGCGGGCAACGCATCGCGCTGAGCAAGAGTGTGAGAAATTTGCTTTCCCAACTTGGCTGCAAACTCAGGAGGTGCGCAAGAGCAGACTCCTCGAAAAGCTTCAGGAGGTGTTCAGACCGGCATTGGGGAAGCCTGGCGCTGAAGTGGGACCCTGTTGGAAGGAGAACAGCAGGACGGCCCGCGAAGAGATGGACCGACTAAGCGTCATTTTTCTTGTTCGCTACATATGTCTGTGCCGCGTGTGAGATTCTTCAAGACAATGGGATTTATGTTGCTGCATCTGCGTCTTAAGTGAAGAAGTCATCAATAATAACGGAACCTGTGATAACCATCAAGAAAGGTGCGTGCATGAGCGTTCAAGCACAATGGGTTTTATTTTGCTTCATCTGTGTTTCGAAGAAATTATCAAGAATAGTGGGATCAGTGAGAACCATCAAGAAGCGCGTGCGGTAATTCTCAAGAACACGTGGCGGCAGCACAGAGGCGTGCGACGCCGCGCGCGCAGCAGCCCGCGCAGGACGCGCTCCGGCGCATGCTGCGACCCTGACCCTGCCCCTGACCCCATCACACGTTTCGTGGCTCCATAGAGAACCCCACCGAAGGTCCCAATGCCAGCGTTCGCATGCGGTCGCCGCACCCATTTTGGCACACCTTCACACGTCTCGTGGCCCCACAAGGAGCCCCACCTAAGGCAGCGTTCGCATGCGCCCGCCTTTGGCACACGCCTCACACGCTTCGTGGCTCCATAAGGAGCTCCTCCGAATGCCGTGCATACAGCGACGGTGTTTAAACTGCATATGGTTGGGTCCTTCGCCAGGCTAATTTTAAAACGACAATGCGCGGCGCTAAAACGAGAGCCACATTTTGAAAACGACCCGCCCTCAATCCGTGAAGCTCTAGCAACTTTTTAAACGAAAGTGCGCCGCGCTAGTGCGAGAACTATATTTCGAAAACGACCCGCCTTCAATCCGTGAATCTCTTGCACATTTTGAAAACGAATGTGCGCCGCGCAAGAGCGAGAGGTACATTTTGAAAAACACGCCCTCCATCCGTGAAGCTTTTGCAAGCTTCTCAACCGAAGACGCGCGGCGCACAGGCGAGAACCACAGTTTGAGAAGGAGCCGCCCTCCATCCGCGAAGCCCCTGCACATGCTTGAAGCGAGTGTGCGTGGTGCTGAAGCGAGTGTCCTTCCTCCTCCTTCCTCTTCCTCCTCTTCCTCCTCCTCCTCCTTCCTCCTCCTCCTCCTCCTCCTCCATCTGTAAACCTGTTTCCAATCATGAAGCTTCGAGACCATGAATGGTGAACAAAACCTCACGCGACACGCCCGGCCCGCCCAAAAAAAAACTGGCCCCCAGGTGCGACAGGGAAGATTATCTATAAGGAAAAGGAATGGCGAAGGAGGAGGAGGAGGAGGAGGAGAAGGCGGAAACTTGTTTATAAGGAAAAGGAATGGAGAAGGAGGAGGAGGAGGCGGAGAAGGAGGAGGACCAGTAAACCCAAGAGTCATCAACGATGTTGAAATTGAGCTCTCTTTCCAAGCTCCCGCTTCATGGGCCCCTACAGCGGTGCTCTTCCAGTGAGGAAACTGCCTCGTTGGAAGACGACTGTTTGACGACCCTGGAGCATGTCAAAACTTTGTTCTCGGGATTCCAACGCCACGGATCAACCTGACTGATGCGTCCTGACGATCTCCCTGGGACTTCACAACGCCGCGAACTAACGTAACTGGTGCATCCTCATAATTCTGAATCCTTCCAAAACACCATTTCTGGTACATTGATGATGTGAATCCGTGAAGCTCTTGCAAATTGTATGAACGAATGTGCGCGGCGCCAAAGCGAGAGCCACATGTTGAAAAGGAGCCGCAATCCGTGAAGCTCTTAAGGAGAAGGAATGGAGGAGGGGGAGGAGGAGAAGGACAAGGAGGACAAGGAGAACGGAGGACAATGACGATGATGATGATGATGCTGATGATGATGATGATGATGATGATGTTGTTGATGCTGATGATGATGATGATGATGATGATGATGGTGATGGTGATGGTGATGGTGATGATGATGATGATGATGATGATGATGATGATGATGATGATGATGATGATGATGATGAGTGAGGAGGAGTAGGAGGAGGAGGAGGAGCAGGAGCAGGAGCAGGAGGAGGAGAAGGAGGCGGAGGAGGAGGAGGACGAGGAGGAGGAGGAGGAGGCGGAAGTCTCAGGCGAAACGCCCAGCCCGCCTTAAAAACCGGCCTCGGGATGCGACAGGGAGAAATGATTTGTAAGGAATAGGGGAGGAGGAAGAGGAAGAGGAGAAGGAGGAGGACAAGGAGGACGAGGAGGACAATGATGATGATAATGATGATGATGATGATGATGATGATGATGATGATGATGATGATGATGATGATGATGATGATGACGATGATGATGGTGGTGGTGGTGATGATGATGAGTGAGGAGGAAGAGGAAGAGGAGGAGGAGGAGTAGGAGGAGGAGGATCAGGAGCAGGAACAGGATGAGGAGGAAGAGGAGGAGGACGAAGAGGAGGAGGAGGAGGAGGAGAAGGAAGAGGAGGATGAGCTCCAACGGAAGGTGCGTGTGTGTGTGTATGTATGGGGGGTAGGGGATGGGTCGACGCGACCCAATCCAGTGCCTCCAGATCCAGCACCAAGTGTGTCCATAAGGCATGCCACTATGTAAAAAGGGACCGGCGATCAAAAAGAGGAGGAGGCGGAGGAGGAATATGAGGAGGATGAGTAGGAGACACCAGCGGAAAATTGGGGAGGGTGGACGCGCGGGCCTCGAGGTACATATCGCGGGCCTGGATCAGCGCCAGGACGCCCGAGACGTCGGAAACTGGCTCGGTCTGCTCCCCTGGCGCCGCCGCGGTGCCTCCCCTCTTTCCAGCCCCCCTGCCATCCCTTCTCCAACTCCTGCTCTTGCTACGACAACACCGAAGATCACTATCCAACAGCACATCTCCTGTGCAAGCGTGTCCTCGCCCTCGCCCGCCGCCGCCGCACGCGCGCCCCCATGCTACGCGGGGGGCTCGGCCGCAGTGGGCGCGCGGCCCAGCGCCAACACGTCTACGTCCGCGGCCGCGAAGAGGACGCATCTCTCCAGCGCTGCCCGCCAGGTCGGCAGCGAGTGCGGCGCCGCCACAGCAATCCCGCATGCCTGCGCCAGCCTGCCGTGCGAGGTGCTCGCGCGCCCGGAGCGTGCCCCGGGCCCAGGCGGCCACAGGTCTCGAGCGCCGCGGGGAGGACGTCGGCGCCGTCGTGTGCGGGTGCTCGCCGGCGGCCGCCGCTGCCGCTGCTTCCCCCACGCTGGTGGCCGCCGTGTGGTAATTACAAGGCAGTTTTTAATCTATAGTTTTTGTTTGTTTGTATTGTTTTGTCTTTCTTTCTTTCTTTTCGGTTGTTAACACATGATTAATTAATGAATAACCGTATGCATGAACTCTTCGTTGTTTTGAATACAAAATCCCTGCATTTTTAAGACATGATCCGCACGCGGAGCATGTATTAAAAACGGCACTGTAACGGGACGCATGCGGGCACGCGGTGGAGGTATCGACGTTGAGCGGCGGGGCGGGCCCAGGGACTGTCACCACGGGGTCCATGACTTCAGCGAAACGCAACTATCAGCACCCCAAACGTGGACCTGCGAGAAGGGCCTCAAAATGTAGACCCGCTCTACGGGGCTCAAATGTAGAGCCCGACCAGACAGACCCTGAAACGTCGACACTCGCGAGATGTAAGCACCCTTAAATGTAGACCCCGACCCGAAGAACCTTGAAATGTAGACCGAGCGCGAAGGGCGGGGGTCTACCTTTACAGTGACGTTTCGTGCAGGTCGCTTGTTTTTCCCGCTGAGTGCCTCTATCACCGCGCCAGACTCGGTGATGCGGACCAGCTCAGGGAGCGTGCGCTCCACATCGACCGCCGCGCGGCATATCCGCAGGAGAGGCGCGAGCGCTGCAGCCAAGGCGCGGTGCGGCCGCATGCGCGCGGGGCCGCGCTCGCAAAACTGGCGGTGCTTGAGCGTCGGGTCGATCCTTTGGCCGCAGACTTCCTCGCCGTGGCCGCTGCCAGCCGGCCGTGCTCGCACAACTGGCGGTGCTTGAGCGTCGGGTCGAGCCTTTGGCCGCAGACTTCCTCGCCGTGGCCGCTGCCAGCCTTGCACGGCATCCGGCACGTGGCGCCCGGCGGAGCGCCGAGGGCGCCCGGGCGCCGCATCGCCGCGGCCCGGCAGTAGCTCGTCGGGAAATCATCGGACGGTCGCGCGGGCTGCTGCGATCACAGCGCGACGGCGCCAGGGCCCCGGGTTGGCAGGAGTCCACGCTCCCAACGCGTGGGAGTCCGCGCTCCCAACGCGTGGGAGGCAAGACGGATAGATTTCAGATCAGGCTTGAGTCTGCGAGGCCAAAGAGAGAGAGAGAGCGCCAGGGCCCCGGGTTGGCAAGAGTCCGAGTCCCTCAGGCCGCTCCGGACCGAGCGCCCGCCACAGCTGGGTGGCCTCCAGCGCATCCAGGTTGCACAATGTACGGCTGGCGTGCCCGCGGGGCGCCCTCGCGGAAGACACGGCTGGCGTACCTGCTCCTGCTCCTGCTCCTCCTCCTCGTCCCCTGCCCTTCCCTCCCTCCTGCTTCCACCTCCTGCTGCTGCTCCTGCTTCTCCACCCGCCCCTGCTGCTCCTGCTCCTGCTGCCTTTCCTCCACCTTCTCCTGCTTCTCCTCTTGCTCCTTCCTCCATCTCTTCCTCCTCCCCTCTCTCTTATCGTCTGTCCTCGTCTTCCTCCTCCTGCACGGCTCCCTCGATCCTCTTCTTCACACTCCTCCTCCTGCTCCTCCAGTGCAATGAAGGAAGGGAGGGGCGGGAAGGAGGGGTGCGGGGAGGAGTGAGGAGAGAGCAGACATGGTGGCGGGGTTTCGCCTCCCCATCCCCTAGTCGTCGTCGCCGTCGTCGCCCTCCCCGTCCTCGCCCCCCCTCCTCCTCCTCCTTCTCCTCCTCCTCCTCTTCCTCCTCCTTTTCATCCTTCTTATCCCCCTTCCTCCTTCGCCTTCACCCCCTACACCTTCCTCCCGGTTCCTGGTGCGCACGTCAACTATGCTAAGCAGAGCGTCTCTCCACAGTCTTACGCGAGAGTAAACCTTTTGAACGTACATCGTGATTTTGTACAGCCTGACTTCAATCGTCTGAACATGAGCGGTGTCAATGGGGACAGCCAGAACCATTATTTGCCCCCCCTCCCCTGCTCTTCACCCCCTCTCTTGTTCTCCTCGTCATCCTTCGAATCCCTTGTTGTTGACGTAGTCCCCATCCTCCCCTTCATTTTTACCCTCGTCCTGGTCGTCGTCTTCCTCCTCCTCCGCATCTTTTCGTCGTCATTGTAGTTGTCGTCGTCGTTCCCCTCCTCCTCCTCCTCCGCCTCCTTCTCCTCTTCCTCCTCCTCCTCCTCCTCGTCCTCCTCGTCCTCCTCCTCCTCTTCCTCCTCATCCTGCTCCTGCTCCTCATCCTCCTTCTATTCCTCCTCCTCCTCTTCCTCTTCCTCTTCCTCTTCCTCTTCCTCTTCCTCCTCACTCATCATCATCATCATCAGCAGCAGCATCATCATCATCATTATCATCATCATCATCATCTCATCAACCTGGCGGAGGAGGGGGAAGGGAGGGCAGAGGAAGAGGAGAGAAAACAAGACGAGACGGAATACTTTCCCAAAGCGAGGAATGGTACAACACGTTTCGTGAATTCGACGTCAAAACCCAAGGCGGTGGAGTGCCGCAGTAAGGCGGCATGAAACTGGCATGGGAACCATGGCGGGGACAGTGGGACAGCTCCTGCCTCCCCTGCATCTTCTTCCCTACACAATCCTCTCGCCTGCTCCTGTTGCTGGTCCTCCTCCTTCTCGTCCCTCATCACTTGTTCCTCGTCCCTTACCCCTTGTTCATCCTCCCTGTTCCCTCATACTTCCTCCATGCCTCCCTCCCTTCCTGTACACAAATCACGGCAGCCTGGTAAGCGCAATACCTTTGGTAGCCGCCCCCCCCGCACGACTTCAGCAGACTGGCAGCCCAACTGAGATGCTACGATCAAATGCAATCCTGTGAGATGCTCGATCTCCTCGCGTATAGCCTCAACGAGGTCGAAGAAGCACGCGTCGTTGCAAAGCATGATCATCTTCCAGACCCACTCCCTTCCTTCTACAATGCCATGATGCGACAAGGACGACCGCCAACTTTAACTTACCATGCAAGCTGCTACGTTTCATTGCTGGTGGCAGTCGATGGTCGCTACGGGCCTGCAGTGCTGCTACAAGAGGCGCTCCCAATACTCAGTGCTTCGGTTGCCGATGCAGCTGCTGATCTTGTGGCGTGGGCTGGCTCCGCATCTCAAGCGTACTCTGGAGTGCGCAAAGGTGGGGTCTGCTCCAAAGCAAAGCGACCCGAACACCTTTTCCTCGTTCTCTCGCCGCGAGACAAGACAACCACTGTGACCATTTCGTGCCTCTGGCTTCCACTGACACATCACCTTCTGCCCCATACAATCCGTTCTTGCCCCTCTTCTCTGCCCATCCCCCGCCTCATGAGGCTGCCAACCTTCTGTGAGGCGCCCATTGACCTCACGAGCAGATATGAACCAGATGATTGACCTCATACTCGTGTCGGCTCAAGCGTCCCAGGCGTACAGCTGATATAGATCCCTGGTGCTCGCCATGCCTCAACGGACTTAACTGAGCTTGCTAGCACCTGAAGGGGTGTTATCGGTTCGCAGTCGATATGTGTATCCCTGGTCCTCACCATGCCTCAACGGACTTCTGAAGCCTGCCAACACTTGTAGGGGCGTTATCGCTGTGCAGCCGATACGGGTATCCCTGGTGCTCACTATGCCTCAACGCACATACTTGAGCCGGCCAGCACATGTAGGGTCGACAACGCTGTGCAGCCGATATGGGCTATCTCTGGTGCTCGCCATGCCTAAACGGACTTTCTGGCTTGTTGAGGGGCTGCGCTGTAAACTCATAGCATGGTGCTCGCGTGCTGAGAAATCCAAATCTGCGGCGCGCTGCTCCTGTATCCATCACATGGGCGGATCCTTCACACTAGTCCATGCGAATATGTCGCCGCGCCGCTTGTCGTCGACGCGCCCAAGTGGACGACGCCGACACCACGGCAAACCCACGGCAAACCCTGCGCCCCGCGCCCCACCAGCACCGCGGCAAACCCCACGGCAAGCCCTACGCCCGGGACGCTGTTTGCCCTTGTGGCCGAGGCGCCCTCCCCAAGACGGACGGCCGCGCGTCGCAACAAACGGCGCTCCGACATATGCGGCTGCTGCCAAGAAGCAGACGGGTCCTGACAGAGACGGGTCTTGGACCCCCGGGCGCTCCCCTCGGGGCCGGCTCTGCATCCTGAGCCGTTCTGTGGCGATCCCGCGGTCCGAGGACGGCCTATCAGCGAAACACCTCGGGCCCCGGGACCCGTTTCCCTTGGGACTGGGCCCGTGGGTCTCGCGGGTCGAGGAGGAGGGTCGAGGAAGAGGAGGAGGAGGAGGAGGAGGAGGAGGAGGAGGAGGAGGAGGAGGAGGAGGAGGAGGAGGAGGAGGAGGAGGAGGAGGAGGGGGGGGAGGAGGAGGAGGAGAGGAGGAGGAGGAGGAGGAGGAGGAGGAGGAGGAGGAGGAGGAGGAGGAGGAGGAGGAGGAGGAGGAGCGAGGAGTCCGTAGCCATTTGGCTCAAGCCGTTGCCTGGGGCCATCGCCTTCCCTGGGGTCGGGGCTCGAGCTGGTCACAGCGACTAGCACGATCCTCGTCCAGAAGCCCTGCCAAGGGTGAGGATCTTTTCACTTTCGGCCACTTTTCGCTTCACAGTCTCGTCAAAGTCTGCGGTCGCGGCATGTCAAATGGTTGGCGTGACGCGACTTGGAGATGCGAGCTCTGCGGGTGTGGAAAGACTCCTATGCACGTGGCATTTTGCAAACATTGCGGGAAGCACTGGCAGACGGGAAAGGACAAGAAGACCAAGGCGAAGCCCAAGGGCAAGGGGGCGGATGATGAGTTTCATCCTCCTGGTCTGCCTGCTCGCGGTGCTGACGCTGCTGCAGGACAAGGCTTGGCGCCGCTCCCAGTGGGCCTGCTGCAGGCAGGAACGGACCCCTTGCCCAACGTCTCGGTGGCGGAGCTCAAGCAGCTCATCGAGCTGGGCAGGAAGGCTGGCAACGAGCAGATGTCCGAGTACTACCAGCAGGTGCTGGCTGTCAAGGACAAGCACGAGGTCCCGCCCCAGACGCGGGCGGACCAGGCACACAAGAACACGAAGAAGCTGGAGGTCGACCTGGAGAGGGAGACTTCGGTGCTGGACGGCCTGCACTCGCGCGTGGCCCTCCAGCAGTCCAAGGTGTCAGGCATCCTCCAGCGCTTGGGGGAGCAGGATCAGATCTACAAGGAGGCGATCACGGAGCTGCACGCCACGATGGCTCCCGTGGTCTCAGCCCCCCCCGCCCTTGCCGCAGCTGTCCTTGGCAGCGCTGCTGGAGGGCAAGCAGGGCGAGTGGGAGCTGTCGTGCGGAGACGACCTCTTCGGCCTGGCGGACTACGTCGACGTCGAGGACAGCGACAAGCAGGAGGCGAAGAGGCGCGAACAGGAGCTCAAGACTAAGTTCACGGAGATGGCCCGCACCATGTTCGGGGAACTCAAGCAGAAGGCGGAGCAGTGCAAGGCGGACCACGAGCAGCTCAAGAAGCGGCTCGAAGGGAAGCGTCGGCGCCAGGAGCCACCAGACGCTGCCGAGCCTAGAGATGGTACTGGAGCGGCTGGTTCAGCTGCTGCGGAGCAGGGCGCTCAGGCGCCAGCGGCCGCCGCGGCGGCTCCAGCAGGCGGAGGCGCAGGCGCCGCCGAACCCATCGTGCCGCCGCCGCAGGCCGTCGGCAAGGGAGCCATGGGCAAGGGCCAGACCGCCGCCCAGGTCCGCGCCCACGCCCAGCGGCTCGTCGGCAAGGGGCCTGGCTCAGGCAAATGGGCAGCGGATCCGCAGCAGGGCCTTTAGCACAGGCCGCCTCGCCTGTGCCAGTCACTGGCCCCTTGCAGCCAAAAGTACCCCTTCAAGTGCACCGTGGCACTTGGTCACGGCGAGTGTGTCAGGTTGGAAAGGAGCTCAGTCGATTCTGACGGACAGCAGGCTTAGTGACGTTTCAGTGTTCTGCCTCCAAGAGTGCAGAGTTTTGCGCGAGAATGTCTGTCAGCACGAGCAGTCCATGAGAAGCGAGGGTTTCAAATTGAGACTATCTTCAGCGGATGCGACTGACCAAGAGGGCATCTCCCCGGGCGTCGGCATCGCGGTCCGCCAGCACATCGGAGTTGGCGAACCGCTGCAAGTACACAGACATCTCCTCCACTCGCGTTGCTCGATCGTGTGGGTGAACGGGTACGTGAAGGGGGGCTTCTATGTCGTCAGTGTGTACACTCCAGATGGCGAGGGAGTTGCAGGAGCTAAAGGACAGCAAATCATGAACCAGTTGGGAGAATTATTGTTTGGGGCCCAGAAGCTGTTCGTCATATCTGGGGATTTCAACAGTTTACCTTCGGAGGTTCAGAGTCTTCGGAGCGTCCAGAAGACGAGGGGTGTTGTGGTGAGTTGTAACATGCCGACTTGTCGTGTGGGCACAGCTTGGCGTGAGCTAGATTTCTTCGTGGTCTCTCATGAGCTCGTCGGGGTCGTCAGATCGTGTGAACGTCTATCGGACTCGGCGAATAAGACTCACTTCCCTGTCCGATTGTCTCTGGGAACCGATGCGCACTTGCAGCTTAAGTCGCGCGTCAAGGTGCCCATGCCTTTTCCGACAGAGAGGCCTATATGACCAGTCCCACTGCCGCAGGACTGGTCAGATATCAGTAGTTCGTTCGAGGCGCTCGACGCGGCGCCGACGGCAGAGGGTTTCAAGAATTTCTACGGGCAGCTATGCGATCGCATGGAGGCCGAGCTCTGCGACACTTTGAGCATTCCAGTCTCGGATCGGCCTAGGTACTGTGGGAGGAGTCGGGGCTTTCGGGTGGTGGAAAAGCCGACTCTGGAACGCGCCAAGGGACCGCTTCCGAAATGTTCGAAGCAGACGAGGAGTATGAGGAGATATCAGGTTTGGCTGGAGGAGCTGAGTTACCTGGTGAGCAAGGGGCATTCTTGGGAGGCCAAGGGTGTTCGCGACTTACTCTGGAGGCTTAACTGGTCGAACCCGATTTTGGCAGATGTTCCAGGCTGGAAGCAGTTTCGCTCTTCTCTGCAGCTGTCCGCGGACGTCGGCTTGGACGGCATCACCGCGGGGCTGCACGCGTTGCGCAGCTTGGCGGGTCAGGAGGAGGCGGAGTTCAGGAGCACGAGGACCAAGGAGTGGAGGAGCTGGGTATCCCAATCTTTGGAGTCTTGAGGGGTGCGGTCTACAAGTGGACCAAGGAGCCTTAAGGATGGGCCCCTGACGCCTTGGGGCCAGCTGGAGCCCCTGCGGGGCCAGTGGACACTGTCGCGCAGCTGCTTAGCGAATGGCGTGAGATTTGGCACGAGGGCGAACCTTCTCGGCTTCTGGCTTCTGACCTGGACCTACCCCTGGGTGAACCTCCCCCTCCACCAGCGGCCGAACAGCTTCGCGAGCTTCTCAAGAGGTTCAAAAAGGGCACGGCGGTCGGTATTGACGGTTGGAACCCTTGTGTTTTGAAGATGTTGAGCGACAAGGCTTTGACGGCCTACGGGCTGTTCCTCGGCTTTATAGAAGAGCACCTACTGATACCTGAACAATGCGATTTATCTTTGGTCGTTTTTCTTCGGAAGCCAGACGGAGGTCATCGACCCATAGGAGTGTTGGCAACGTGCGTCCGCATCCTGGGCCGACTCAGACGAGATCAGGCCAACCAATGGGAGCGGAATCATGCCCTGAGCTGTGTGTACGGCGGCAAGGGCAAGAGTTGCGAGCGGGCAGTGTGGCAGCAGGCGGCGCGTGCCGAAGCTGCAGAATCTATCGCGGCTAGTTCGGGGTCAGCGCTGATAGATCTAGAGAAGTGCTATGAGAAGATTCCCCACGATGTTCTTTGGAGGTCCTGCCAGAAACACAGTTTCGACTTACAACGGGCTCGGCTTCTGTTGATGGTGTACGGGGGGCGGAGGATGATCAAAGTGAGGGAGGTCGTCTCGTCGGTTATCAGGTTGAATCGCTCGATCATCGCGGGCTGTTCGTTTGCGACGACGTTACTGCGCGTTGTGCTGTGCGATTCTTTAGTTTACATGCGTGATAGATGGCCGAGCGTACACCTGTCTGTCATGGTAGACGACATAACATTAGAAGCAATCGGTTCGGCACGTTTCGTTCGACAGACGTTAGCTGCTGCGGTCCCCGACGTGCGCAAGCAGTTACAGCATCTGGAGCAAGTGGTTTCACGCAAGAAATGCCAGGTGCTGGCTTCTACCAAGGAGTTAGCGGCGCAACTAGGCAAATATCTGCGTGCTTATAGTTTCAAGGTATGTGCCAGCGTCAAGAACCTAGGGCACGACTTCGGGATGCAGGCTCGTGCAGGTAAACCAATGCAGAAGTCCAGGATCAGTAAACTCAGGAAGCGCGCACATCGTTTTCGGGCCCTCAAGCATCATCGTAAAGGGCTAACACGAGTTTACCGAGCAGGAGGTCTCGCCTCGGCCACGTGCGGGGTGCGGGTCATGGGCATGCCAGATAGTGAGTTGCAGAAGTTGAGGGCTGTCTCGGCCTTCGCGCTCTTCGGCAAGGCCAAGGGCCGCTCGCGCGCCGTGCAGTTTCTGTTGTTGGACCCTCCAGATGCCGATCCGTCCTTCCAGGTGAACTCGCTCCCGCTGCTCACTTGGTTGTTGGCGCTGCACCAGGAATGGGTTCCCACAAACAGGATGGGAACACTAATCCACAGGGCCTCATCACGGGCCCAGCAGGGTTGGGGATATGTGCGAGGCCCGGCAGGGGCCGTCGTCCAAACCCTCAGGCGTCTCGGGTGGACGGCAAGGTCGTATCATGTGTGGATAGATCCCCGTGGGCTCCAAGTTGACCTCCATCAAACTGGGATCCCCACCCTCAAAGCGGTTATCTATATGGGTATCAAGCGGCAGCTCGAGCAGGCGGCCGCCAAGCACCTCGGTTGGGAGGGTTTTGTGTTCCTGGATCCTGTGAAAGCAGAGCTCAGGCAGGTTCGGGGACGTGGACCTTCGGCGCAGGCTGATCTGGTGGCCATTCATATGGCTGGGAGCCTCTGGACTCAGGATAAGATTTTCAAGTATAGGTACAGTATCGCTCGTGAATGCAGGTGGTGCTTGGGCGCTCCAGGTGCCATATCGCACCGTCTGTCCATGTGTGACGGTCTTGCTGGCTGGAGGCGCGAGCAGGGTTTCAACGAGCTGATTTCCATAGGCAGAGATTTCCCCGACAACCAGATGGTTGACTTCGGCTGCTTGGATAGCAAGCGAGACGATCTTTCCCCTCCGCTGCAGGTCGGTGAGAGCCAAACGAGATGGTACCCTCGGGGAGGACATCTAGGGGGACTTATATTTATTGATGGGTCTGGGTTAAATCCTGATATTGATTTGATGTCGAGGGCGGGGTGGTCGGCATGCTCTCTCAGACCAGGCACGGAGGAGGTCCAAGCAGTTGCTTACGGCCCCGTTCCAGGCTTGGTCCAGTCCTCAGGACTTGCCGATCACTACGCGTTCCTGATGGCCCTGACCCTCATGCCTGCCAGAGCCACGATCGTGACAGATCACAAGAACTTGCTGCTGGCCCTCGAGAAGGGCCCAGAGGTAAAGTGTTGCCCGACTCAGCCACATTGGGAGATCTGGAGGCCGATTTTCTGGAAAATCGATGACATCGGGAGAGAAAACGTCGAGCTGGTTTGGCTGCCGTCCCATCGGTCCATGTCCTGGTATAGGAACCATGGGTATTCTGATGAGTGGTTTCCTGGGAATGCCGCGGCTGCAAATATGCTAGGCTTGGATCTATGGGGTACCCTTCAGTGGCCCATGTAGATCAGCGTGTCGCAGCAGCTATGCATGTAGGCAGTCAGTTTGTTCGGATGCTCGGAGGAACTTTGAGCAACCTAATCCAGAGCGGTTTTCCGGATGTAGATAGAATTCCCAAGAAGAGTAAGTACAAGCCTGTAGCTCTTGGGGCGGCCCAACCTGTGGTCACCCTCAAGATAGACAGGTCGGATAATAATCACCTCCTCCACCTCACAGACGGGGTCTGGGGGTGTAGAATGTGCGGCAGAGCCTCCGTGAAGAGAAGCGTTGTCGTGCAGGACCCGTGTCCAGGCAAGCCTCGCGTCCTGGCCAGGTGTCACGACACCCACAGAATGTGGAGTGTCAATGGTGAACTGTTCTTTTGTATGGCCTGTGGTTGCCACGCGCGGAGGCAGGTCAAGGACTTGGCCCTGCGATGCAATCAAGGGCCAACCAGTGGTGCGGAGCGCTCACTCAAGCTGCTGCGCAATGGTGTGGACCCAACCAGCAAGAAGGAGGTTGGGGTGCCATTCCCCGCCCACTAATTCAAATGGTCTGTGCGTGTCTTGCGCTGCGGGACACGCGCTCCGAGGCTCCAGAGGCTCCAGAGGAGGAGCGAGGAGGAGAGGGGGGGGGGGAGGAGGAGGAGAGAGGGACCCACGTGGAGAGCCGGCGGGGGCGCGCCCGCCTCCGGACGCCTGCCTCTCGCCCCGTCTCTCCTGCCGCCCCCGCCAGGCCCCCTCAAGATGCTGTGCGATGCTGCGCGATGCACAAAAAACGCAAATGGCTGGCATTAGCATTAAGTCGGGCGTGTCCCCCTACAAAGGGATTTTGGGCGAAAAATTTAAACATACTCAAAAACTACCCCCCAAATGTTTAGTCAAAAAATCGTCCCCAGACTATCTTTTAATACTATTTTTGAATATTCCCCCTACAGAGGGACAGCCCCGACTTAACATTAGCAGACGGTGCCAACCAACTTTGGTTGACCAGGGCCCGGGCCCACACGGGCGCGGCGCGGCGGAGGCGAGAAATCCTGCCGTGATTGTGAAGTGGGACTGGCCGAAGCAACGGACCGCGGGCTACTTGGGTATGCGAGGCATAGCCTGAGCCCTCAGGCCTAGCAGGACGCCCGCGATCTTACCTACCAACGGGCGGCCTTTGATGCCAGAGCTCCAGCCGTGTTTGTTGAGCCCGAGAGAGGGAGGGCGGGAGGGAGGGAGGAAGGAGGGAGGGACGAAGGGGACTGACGGAGGGAAGGAGGACGAGGAGGAGAAGGAGAGGTAGGAGTGAGAAGGATGGCTGACGATCATGATGATGATGCTGCTGATGCTGATGCTGATGCTGATGCTGATGATGCTGATGACGACGACGGTGACGATGACGATGACAATGATGATGATCACGATGACGATGACGATGATGATAATGCTGAGGATGATGATGCTGATTGTGGTGCTGATGGTGGTGATGATGATGAGTGTAATGGTAATGCTCATGTTGACGACGATTATGATGATGCTGATGCTGATATGATGATTATGTAGGTGATGATGATGACGATGAATGTGATTATGACGACGATGATGATGATAGTACTGATGATACTGATGCTGATGATGATGCTGATGCTGTTGCTGCTGATGATGATAATGGCTGTAGAAATGCGAGGATGGAGCAAGATGACAATGGGGACGCCTGCTGAGCTGAGGAACGACGGAGTACGGTGTATAGCAACGGCGATTGTCTGAGAGTGCACGTAGGTATTAAGTTTGAATCGTGATTTTGACGGACCAAGCGTATAGTCTGCCAACGTTGCACGCATCCCTGCATTGAAACAGGAGGATCAGAAGGAGGAGGAAAAAGAGGATGGAGACAGCTGGACGTACTATATGATTTCATGCACTTAGCCGACGGAGTTCTCCAGGATGACCGGTAGGTTTCTCTCTAGTTCAGGGTCTCTGCCGGTGGACATTTCTAATTCAATTGAAGCCTTCATCCCTTCCTCCATCCTACTTCGTCTCTATGCTCCTCCTCCTCGTTGTCATCCTCCTTTTCTAGATTTCGCCGCTTCGGGTTCAATTTCAAATCGAACGCTGAGGCAGAACCCTATGCCTGCAGTTCATTTCGACTCAGCATCTTCGAGGTCCACCTAAGCTGCTTCCTTCTTGTAGCAAGCGCTGAAGGCATCGAAGAGCTCCTGCTGCGCGGCCTCAAGCTTCCTGCCGGCTTGGCGCACGGCGAAAATGGGGAATAAGGTGAGCCGCGCGCAGGAGAATGGACGGCTCAAGGGTCAGGCGGGGGAGGGGGATGAGATGGTGTGTAAGTGCATACGTGCATGTCTGAGACACATACATAAGTACATACATATGTTGACACATCTGATCGTTGTGTGTATATATACATATGTTCAGACATTAATCTCTACATAACGAGAGAGAGGTAACACCACGCACATCCATACCCATGTACATGCATACATATATATAAGTACATACGTGTGTGTATACATACGTAACTGTGAATACATATATATATATATATACACATATATATATATGTAGAGCGGCAGAACACCCAACGAGAGGAAGAAAGGGAGAGAGAGAGAGAGACAAACGCACACGTATATATATATATGTGTATACACACATATCTGGGAGAAAAAGATATATATATATAGAGAGAGAGAGAGAGAGAGAGACAGGGAGGGTGGGAGGGAGGGAGGGGAGGGAGAAAGAGAGAGAAAGACAGAGGAGATAGGCAGAACAACCAAGGGAGAGGGGACTGGGGGGCGTGTGCAGGACGGGGGAGTCGATCAGCGCGTTGCAAAGGGAATGTGCGTCTAGCCACTGCTGTGGAGCTCGTACCCGTGGATGGAGTACCCGCTCCAGGTGGCTGCAGTCTCAACGTTCATCGAAACAGAAGAGGCAGAGAGAGAGAGAGAGGGAGAGAGAGAGAGAGATACTGGAGCTCTGGACTCAATCTGTCTGCGACGTCAAGATCTCGTGGTCCTCTTCTAGTTCTTCTTCTTCTTCTTCCTCCTCTTCCTCCTCCTCCTCCTCCTCCTCCTCCCCCTCCTCCTCTTCCAACTCCTTCTCCTCCCTTCTACTCCTCCCTAATCCTCCTCCCTAAAATCCGGCGTCCAGAAAAACATGCAACATCGTAAGACAAACTCGACCGCAACCCTGGACCCCGTCCGTCTACGATGCCAAGACCTCGGGGCTCTCTTCCTCCTCGTGCTCCTCCCACTCGGGCCCGTCTTTGAACACTGGACTGCTGGGCGCCGTGCCTCCTCGCCCTGCTCCTCCCCCTTCTCCTCCTCCTCCTCCTCCACAACAACAACCCACAGCAAAGTCCGAAGCGACGAACTGGAGCTGCTGCTGCAACTGCAACTGCACACCGATTTCTTCTTCTTCCTCCTCCTCCTCCTCCTGACGAAGGGCAGGAGAAGCCGCCAGCCGCCGGTCGCTGTGCTGAGTCGGCCGCGGCCGCTCGCCGCACACCGCTTGCCGCTCCCCAGCTGCTCGGCCGCTCGCCGGCCGCTCGCTGCTCGCCAACCGCTGGCCGCTCGCCCGCTCGGCCGGCCGGGGAGCCGGCTACACGCAAGAGTGACCCTGGGTCAGAGTGACCCTTGGTGCGCGGCTCTTTGGGGGCCGCGTGGGGACCAAGCCTGGGCGCGCAGGCCGTGGATTCTGCTGCGCTTTCGGCCATCTGGGGACCCATCTGTGCCCGCACCAAAGGTCACTCCGGCGAGAGGTCACTCTTACGTCTAGTCGAGGGAGCCTGTGCCCTTCGATGGCCAACGGCTCCGCCATCGCTGCCCCGCTACCCGCCGGCGCGGGGCGCGGCGGCCGCCCGGCGCCTCCCACGGCCGGGTCGTCGGTCGTCGGCCGTCGTCGTCGGCGCCCGCCACGTCCTCCGCGGATCGTCGGCCGTCTTCAGGTCGTCGTCCGTCGCCGTGGCCGTGTTGGCGAGCCCGGAGAGAGCCGCCACGAGTCATTATCGTCGTCGTCGTCGTCGTCGGCGGCGGCGGTGGCGGCGGCGGTGGCGGCGGCGGTGGTGGCAGCGGCGGCCGCGGCGGCGGCGTGGGCGTGGGCGCGGCCGTAGGCGTCGTCGTCGGCGGCGTCGGCGGCATCGTCGTCGCCGTTCACGGGGGCGCCCTGGAGGCCGAGCCGTTTTCCGTCGAGGGGGGCCGAACTCAGCTGTGCTCCGAAGCCGAGGGGGGATGGTGCACGCGCCGCCCGCGGCGGCGCTGCGTCCTCTCGGCCCAGGCTTGACGGCGCAACTGTTGCCGCTTACAAAAGGCAGAGTAACGAGCCTCGAAGGAACTCCACACGCATGGAGGAACAAACAAACAAATGATCCTGAAGCTTCCAAGGTCCGCGCGGATTCCTTGGGTCAGCGGTGGGATCTCCTGGCGGCGCTTCCGGCGCGGCCCCTGGCGCGTTCCGCGCTCCGCGCACCAAAAGGAGGGTCCAGCGCAGACCCAAACATCCGCGCATAATTCCGAACATGTATGTTCACGCCGTATACTTCGTCGGAGTAAGCACCCCATACGGGCGAAACCATTTAGCAAACGCGCCCAGGGAAGGCATCGAACAAGGCAGAGATCGTCATCAAGTGCCCCAAGACAATCCCAGCAGCAAACATTTTGGCATGAAGCAGACCGGTCCTGAGGTAAGCGGGTCCTGGACCCTGGGGCCTACCCCTGGGGGACCGCACTATCATACCGAGTCGCTTTCTGACGGTCCCGGGGCCCGTTGAGTGTTCCGGGAGCCCGAACACCGCGAAACACCTAGGAACCTTTTCCTTCAGGACCCACTTTCTTCGTGGCGACACTTGTGGGGGTCGTTTTTTTGTATATTTCCCAACCCTCCTTGGTTGGGTAATCGTTTTGAATCGAGGGGTGTGGTCGCGTCCCTCCTTCTTCTCCCGCCTCCCTCCCGCCTCCCTCTTGTCTCCTCTCGCCTTGCAGATCAATGGCTGGGAGTACCTCTTGAAGGGTGGTTTCCCAAACAATAGGTTTCATGCAAAAGCCAGTGTCCAGCTAAGTAGGGTACCTCTTGATGGCTGTTTTCCCAAACAATAGGTTTCATGCGAAAAGCCAGGATCCATAGGAGCAGTGGAGAGACGGATGTTGCACGAGTAGGTAAGCTTCTCGGGCCGTCGTCATTGTGGGCACGATGTACGTCACGACCGAGATTTCGTGCCTCCGGCACTCTTCAAGTGTGTTCGGGCCCCCGCTCGCGGGGGTCCTGGGCCCTCCTTCGCAACACCCGCGAGGGCCCAAGAACCGCTTCGGCGGCCGACACTTCAACAATCGACTCAGCAAAAAGTGAATTACTTAATGTTACAAGAAAAACGACTTTGCCATGATTCGGTCACAAGCAGACTCAGCACACGACAAACATTGACTTGACTCGGTCACAAGACTTGGAAAGGGCGACCACCACATGCTCCGTCTCTCCGCAGCGGGGATTGCCACGGAAAGGGAACGGAAGGAAACGCGGGGGGCAAGAGGAATATTAGCCTGAATAAGTGTTTAAGATGTTGAGGGAGAGGATGATGGGTGGGTGGGGGGAATGGGTGGTGGGGGGGGAGGGGGGCAGAGGAAGAGGAAGGGGGCGGGGGTCAGACCGACAGGAGTTGAGGTCTGAAGGGGGGTGGCAGGTGAGCGCACCGATCGGGGTCAGGCTCTTGATTTTCTCGTCGTTCGTAGGTGCTTGGGCTCGGAAGGGCCCCGCGGCGGTTTTCCCCAACGGCTGTTGCCAGTAGTTTGGGCGGCGCCGAAGATCCAACGGGGCCATGGAGTGGCATCCTCACCGCGGGGGAAAAGGGGCCCAGTGGCATCAACAAGGAAAGGGCGGGGTAGTGTTTGGCCTGCCCGCGCCGCCGCCGGGAGTCGGGGCGGGCGGGGCGACTTGGCAGCCCTCGGCGTGGACTCCGATCAAAGGCGGCGGGTGGCCCGGAGGAGGCAAGGCGGGTTGCGCCAGCGGCGGGAAAGGGTGGGCCGAAAAGGCGGGCGTCGCCCAGGACACCGCCAGGGGCAGGCAGCCAGAGGAGCGATCACGGAGGTCGCCCGGGCGCGTGCGCGACACGGATAGGAGTGCTGACGGGCGCGGGGGGTACCGGAGGAGGTCGAGGTCCAGAGTGAGGTCGAGGTCGAAGTCGAGGGGGAGGTCGAGGAGGGGCCGCGAGGAGGAAAGGAAGCAGAGAACCAAGTCAGAGGAGGTTCGGCACCGCAAAGGGAAAGATAAAGACAAGGAGCAAGAGAAAGGGAAGGATCGCTCCGTTCACCTGCCGGTGAAGTCCAAGGAGAAGGACACGCCTCGTGGTCGGTCGTCACGGGGGGAAAGGGGCCGACCAGATAAGAAGACGAAAGAGGAGAAGGGAGGTAAGGAGGAGAAGGATCGGCACCGCGACCAGGCTCCAGGGACTTCAAGTCCAACGGAGAAGGGCGGCAGGAAGGAGAGGAAGCAGGCGCCGTCCCGGGGCGCCACGCCCACTCCAGCGAAGCGCAAGGAGCGGGACAGGACCAGGAGTGCCAGAAGGTCTGAGGAGCGGACGCCGACGGCCGGAAGTCCCGACCCAAAGAAGGGCAGGCGCGAGCAGAAGGGAGGAGGTGAGGAAGGGGGCGGCAGTAAAGGAGTGGCGAGGATGGACGGGCGTGGCAGGGCATCGGGGTTGATTCCAGACGACTCACACCACGACGTGACAGAGCACTACGGGATGAAGATACCTAAGAGCATCACGAAAACAAAATGGTCCGATGAAAGGGGGCACCGCCCTGACCGATCCGTTTGGCGTGAAGCTTGTCGATTACCTCTACAAAAAGGAAAATGACTATGCAATGAGGTTGGTTTCCAATGGGAAGTTCATCATACTAGAAGCTTGCCGGAACTCGTTCGAGCACGCCCTGATCCACTCCGTGCTTTTCGAGATTCGGGATCGCTCGGCCCCCATCCAACTAAACTTAGAGGCGCTCTTTACCAAGATTGCGAAGGAGAAGGGCTTGAAGACAGATGAACAGGAGTATAAGAGAGAGGTGGCTAATGACCTGGCTAAGGGATTCGTCAAAATGTTGTGGGAGAGGCAGGGGTTCGGAGAGGGCCCAGTAGACGGCGAGTTGAAAAAAATGCAGGCCACAATAGACCGTCTAGAGAAGGAGAACACGGAGTTGAAGAAGGGTGGGAGGAAAGGGAAGAAAGAAGACGACGATGAGGATGAGGAGGAGGAGGAGGAAGGCGAAGAGCAGAAAGTGGACTTGGACCAAGAGCTGATGCCGTATTCGCGAGGGGGAAAGACAAAAGTGCTCAGGGCATCGGGGGTGACGTGCTTCAAGAAGGCGCACATCGACGGGAAGATCAAGGGCTTGGGGCTGGAAGGGGAAAAAGCGAAAAAGGCAGAGGAGCTAGGAAAAAAGCTGCAAGAAAAGTTCCGGGCACTGGCAAAGAGTCAGATCGAAGAGGCGACGTTGCACGACCGGGTCGGGGAGCTCCTGGTCGAGTGGGGGGTCCCTCCCAAGACGTTCGGGGGTAACAGCAAGACCGACTACGGGCACATGATGCGGCTGCTGGCCGCAGCCGTGGTGTGCGCCGAGTGAGTGGAGGGGAAGCGCATGGGGCGCAGGTCTGTAGGAGAGGTGAGTTTGCCGAGTAGGTCGGATGAAGGAGTTCATATTCATAGGATGGTGTGCCAATTTTGTTCTTTGCTTTACCGGGGTTTGCGGCAGAATCCTGCTAGGCCCGGTGAGGTGGGAAAAGCGGCTAGCGCAGTCCTGTGGGTCTGGGGTAGAAGTCTGATCGGCTTGTTTGCCAGCAGCCGGTCCCAGTGGCATCGTAGCTGGGCCACGCGTTTGAAAAGGGCAGGGGTGAATTTCTTTAGTTACAGTTTTGCATATTTCCGTGGGCCCGTAGGGGTGTACGTGAAGCTTTCAGCAAAAATGAACGCAGCGTACGTTGGAATGTGCACTAATTCGGTGGCCGCCAGGGAGGCTTCTAGGGTCCGGAAGTTCAGACAAGTTGGCATGGTTCACGTGGAGCCTGCCATCAAGTGGTGGCGGAAAACAGGCTCGTTTTTTGAATTCGCGCCGGTGGTTTTCCGACTGTTCCGAGATAGGTTAGACGCAGCGGTAGCGGAAATGTTGTTGCAAAAGGAAGCCCAGCCGGAGCTAAACGCCCCGCATGTGCACAGGTGGCTGGGGCGAGAGCGCCCTGCGTTGCCCCGTTCTTCCTTGAACCGCCCTCCCGGGCGGAGACTTTGGGCGAGGGCCCGGAGGCTCGCCGGGGGAAGCCGTCTTACCAAGCCGCCGGGGGACGATCTGAACTCCCCTCAAGCAGAGATTTTTCGGACCGTGTATCTCCTCGGCGATGCCACTTTCAGCTCGTTCGAGATGGAAAAAAGGATAAGGTCCCACAGCGTTTCAGTGGTGGAATTGTATTTGCTGCATCGTTCTACGACGTACCTGGACGAGCCATGGCGTGGGAGGGCAAGGAAAAATATTGCCGATGCAATGGGTTGGAGGGGGTTGAGCGTGCCAAAACCTTCAAGACCACTAAAGATAGGAGCGCTGGCGCACGGGAGCTTCAAGGACGATGCGCGAAAACTGCTGAAAGGTATGCTGGATGGTTGTCGGGATGCTGCGCTGCCCCTGCACGTGCCGCGGGTGGGGGTATGCGAGGCCAAATGGCCGAGTATCCAGGATAGGTTGTGGAATTTTCGCAAATTCACCCGGCATCTGCGACGGGACACAGTGGCTGCCGTGGAGTGCGTGTGCCAGAAATACCGCGGCAAGTTGCCCGGGGAAGCGTGGTCTGCTGGGGGGCACGTGGCGGTCCGCGGGTATCTGTTGCCTGGTTTGTCGG